CCGCCTTAACCATTAACGTTTCTGACGCACTGTGGAAAAGGGAAGGCCTGAGCGCTTCTTCTTGTCAATCGAATGTTATTGATAAACCTTTTCAATTCTTGCCATGGAATTTCTTTAAATAGTGAAACCCACCTACGTCAGCCTTCAGATGAATCTCTCTGGAGCGCGACGGCTTTGAGAACAAGCCTTAGACACAGAAGCTGAAGGCTTTAGTAAAAGTTGAGTTAGCGTGCTTATGATCCATGTTTGAATTGTAAAAAAAAAAATAAGGCAGCAGTCCGCTCTTCTAATTTTGAAAGGGCACGTTTTTTCATTAGTGTAAGAGCAACTTGCAAAACTTAGGATTTGTTTAGGGCAGATTTTGCTAATATTCTTAAGACATTTTAAATCTCAGTATTGTCATGGAAACACTAGAGAATTTTCAGCAACGTTAGGAGGATTGGAGGTGATGTTTTGAAGCTCTTGTGTGTTGTATGCAATTCCAGAGTCATATTCTGAGGCTCCTGTGATGTGCTTAGATGAAGATCTGTGGAAAAGATAGCGGAATACGGAAGTTGCCTTTCAAAATAATAAAAACCAAAAAGACAGACATCAATGGTTTTTCCCTTTGAGGTCATGCTAAATGCCGTGGTTTTTGTAAGGGCACACAGAATAAATGATCAATCTGTGTTTCAGAATCAAAAACTTTTGACTAAAAGTTTTCACAGGGTTGCTGTTGAGGAGAGAGGATCATAAAATGCAGCCCCTAAGTACAACTTGCAGGCTCTTAGAACCAAGAACAGCAGCTTTCCTTTCTATTCGTAATGTCGTTTGGAAGAAAAAAACCTGAGGCATTATATATTTTTTTTCTCCGAGTTCAATAATAATGATACTATCAGGTTTAAAATGTATTTACACTTTAAAGGTGTTTATAAACATGAATCCTTAGAAAGGAAGCAGCTAGTAAAATTGTCAATTATAAATATCATAGTCATATATATTTACTGGAAATATTTGCTGATATGTCTGCAAATAATTAAAGAGACATTTGAAAAAATGATAAAGTTTTAAAAAGTGATGTGATGAATTTTTCACTGGAAAAATTCACAAGATAAAATCATTAATTCTTCGAAGTTAAGGTTGTGTATATTTTATCGAGAGTACAAGCCTGGGCCCAAATCTAAGAAGTCATATATCTGGTTGACTCTAACTCATTAGTGCACTTAAGCATACATTTAATTAAACCAGGGAAGTAGTCTTATTTAAATCAAAGGAACTAAAAGTCACCTGCATTTAGAGACACTAATGATATTCATAAAATCATTTACAGGAATGTTTATTTGCAGGAGTAAGACCTGGTGACATTCACAGACATTTTCCCTGTGCAACTGTGTGTGTAATGGTTATAGAAGTAAATTCTTTATTCGTGTTTATTTGCATTTCTTGTATAACCTTCAGATTCCTTCCACAAACTCCAAGCAAAGGTTTAGGAATCAAATTCTATTTAAAATGTATTCAATATCTATTCAGTTTGATGTATATTTTAAATGTGTCTTTACCTTGCAGGCAAAAAAGATGAATGTTTGATCTGTAGAACTCCTTGTCGTACATTATTCCTTTCAAAGCAGGTAAACGAAGCTTTAGTATTGTTGTATGACATTAATCTGTAGTTTGCTTAACAGCTAAATTATTTACATTACAAAGTACTTCCCTTTTGTTTGCCAACTGTGACATGAATATTTACTGATGATAAGTTGGTAGACTTAGATACATATTCACTATACAACTTTTAGTTTTATGGATCTCTTCAAATAAAAGCCTACGGAGACTTTTTAGGTTTTCAGATTCTGCTGGACTGTAAATCACTCCAACGTTTTCAAGAAACATGACTTGCTACTGTGTAACATCAGTGACTACTTTCAAAATGTGGAAAAATGTTTATTGACTTTGGCATTTGTACATGAGAGAAAGGGGACTGTAATTAATTATTTCATGTAAGAGACTGAATTGAAAGTTCGCATAGCAGCACATCAGTGTTTTCAAGTGTATTGGGGTTTTTTCTCCATTTTCTCTTAAGCTTAACTGTTTTCCTCATGGCCATGTGATTAAGAGAGGATCTGAAATATTGTTGGGAATTCTTGTTATTCCCTAAAGAATGAATAGATTTAATTTTCCCATTTCTCCCAGGAACAATCTTCTTCTTAGCTCATTTTATAAATGCATTGTGAAAACCTTTATATTTTCCTAGACATGCCTACCTAAAGACAAGCCTGCCTTACAATGAGAGAAGAAAAATACTAAAAGCATACAGTCCAGCTGAATGTACTGAACACATAAAGTCCTGTAAGGCTATAAGACAATCATATATGAAATAGAGAACAATTTGGGGCTAACCTTGAAGAGATGACCTTGAAGGAGGGCGTAATTTCTGTAGATATGTTTAAAACTGTGCTGATGTATATCTTCATACAGAAATGTCTGCCTCTGCATACTGTATATAAAAAACCTGTTACACCATGTTTCATACTTGTAAACAAAGAATCTTACAGAGATGAAATAGGGAGAAGAAGACAATGCTACCAAGAATAAAAAGTTATGGCAAAACAACAGAAAGCAAACATAACACAAAGGAACAATGCACACAGTAATCAAATAAAAAAAAACCCAACAAACAAAAAGGCCCTCATAAAACTTCTAAAGGAAGTATTTTAATAAGCTTTCAATATCAGCCTACTCTGGCTGCAAGTTTTGTTATTAATTTCAGTCACATAATAATTCAGGTTGTCAATGACCTCTAGAGGTCATCTTGTCCAACACCTTGCTCAAATCTAATTTTGAAGTTAGATCGCTCTTAAATTGCAGCATTTCAATGGAACTTGATAATTTACTTAAAAATACTGAAGGAATTTAAAAATGTGATGATTGGGATGCTAACAAAAATATTAGATGTTTCAATAGAACCTGTCACACCTCTGGAGGACTGGAAGGAATCAAATTACCATATTCTTTAAAAAAGACATTAACGATGATTGCTTAGCCTTGATTAAGAACAGATAAAATGATTGGAATGATAATTAAAGATGCATATAAAAAAGTCATGGCTCTATAATTCAGGAACCTGAGTGGAAATATACCTGGTAACCTTTATGAGCTTGATGCTGTGGAAGAATTCCCAATGAGTAGGAGGTCCTATAAATGTGTTAAAACTCTTCATTAAATTGTATACTGGGGCAATCAACATCTACACATTAAATATTCTCATCTTTACAGTAATGCATGCTTGTCACCTTTATGTCTTCCCTCTATGTCTCACGATCCCCGCTTGCTTTTTCCCAAAGGATGGTTGAGTGTTAGGATAAATCAGAATCTCACTGTTCATTATTTCAGAATATCATGTTAACATCTGCTACTCCTCCATGCAACAGATAAAATATAAACAGCATTCTACAAGCCTTTATTTTAAAGAGTTTTTAAATCAGTGAGGAAGCTGGTTGGTTTTTGGTTTTTGTTTTCAGATCTGATCAATAAGTACTTAAACCAAGGTCATTGCTTTGTTAGGACCCTAAATATGTTTCTAGAGCTTGCCTCCTATGAATACATTTTAAAGATGCCAAATGTATTTTTATGAACACATTAATTTTTCTAGATGAAACTTTATTGTCTTGTTTGTATTTTCTAGGTTAGATTGTTCATTCTGTCTGTCTGCTTTTTGCTTTCTCAGTCTACCAGTTCACCCTATGGAAATTTTCAAATGCTTTGGCTAATGTCAACCAAATTCAAAAGAGCAGAGGAAGTCTCAAATGCTATTAATTTCCTCTTGTGAGTTCTATAAAAATTAGTAACTGGGAAAAGGAAGGAAAAGCAGTTCAGTTCCCCTGGTGACAGAAACGCAAGCACAGCTCATCAATAATCAAAAGTGCGTTTAGCAGCCACATGCACAGTTCTGCAGGAACCAAACAGTGCACACCGTCTTTGCTCAGATGAATTTCTATACAGGGCATCGAAGTAGCTGATGTCAGAATATGGGAAACAAAAGATATAAATCTGTTGCAAATCCAAGTTATTAATTTAGCTCCTCATATAATTATTTTTCATACCTATGAGGCTCAATACCCTGATACTTAATCTGGGATATTTGACATTATACTACTGTTATACTATTTTTCAAGACGGTAAAAATGCCATCTTTCTGTATGTTTGTGTATTTCCAAATGGAGCAAAGCCTAATTCTTTCTTTATTTCAATACAATATTTTAATTTAAGTGATAGAACTTATCTTTCTATTTGCTTAGTAGCCTAGAAAACTGTTGCTTCATTCACAGGAGGCCTACTTTTTATTTCTTTCAGTAATTTTCCTTACTTTAATTTTTCAATGATACTTTAGTACTTCTGGGATTAATTTACATTTTGCCTGTAACAGTTTCAGTTCTTTTTTATTGGATTTTGAAAGGTGATTCCTTACATGAAGGATGCCTTTTTACTGGGATAATCTTCTTTTGTCATCTATGTATGTTGAGATTGGTTTTGGTTTTTTATTCAACTTTTAGCTAGCCAAAAACGTACTTTCTATTATGCAATCACAATATATCAAAGAAAACCATCCAGTTTGCAGTCCACAGGCAGATGTTTGGTTTTTTTTTTGTTAGATTCCTCATTTTTAAAAGCTCTTTACTGTACAGTAGAAGATGATTGAAATGTGATCACTGTTAGTTCTTAGTAATATAAGTATTTTACCTTAGTACTAGAACTAGAGTAACCATTTTGAGGTTGTATTTAGTATGTTTTTCTTATTAATAAATTAGGAATACACGTATTCTGGATTAAACTAACACTTAACTGAATTATCTGCATTGCTTTGTAATTTGGATAGATGTTCAAATGTCACCATCATACTGAAATTCACTTCACATTGTGTAGCTTTTCTTTCTCACCATAAGTAACAAATACATATTTGTTACAATGATAGCTTAGGTACAGAGCACTTACTCAGCATTTTCTAATAACACAGGTGGCCATTGGTGAGGCCACATCATGATCTCTGATTGAAAGTCTCAGTCATAAAATACTAACTCATTTTAGGCTTTTTTCTTATGCTAGGATAGCAATCTGCTGCCCCATAGGCAGAAGAGATAAAGGGATCCCAGTCAGTATGGAAACCATTCCAAAAAAAGACTTGGAAACAAAATTGATTACAGGATGCATCCGTGTGGCTGGGGATGGTGAGAACCAAAAAGCCCGGAAAGGGACTGCCAGAAACCTGGCTGTTGGTCTGAAGGCAATGCCTCTGCCAGGGGACCACAAAATCTTCCTTGAATGTCCTCTGGAAATTGTGATTGCCTTAGTTACAGTAAGTGTATATGTGTGTAATATATTTAAACAAAAGCACAGAGTCTTCCAGATGGTTAACAAGGGCATTAAATAAAACTGGTCTTGTTTTCAGTTTCTGTGTCATCCTACTCTTTAGCTGTCCATTTCCATCAATTTAAGGAACACTTCACAAAATGCTTTATCTAATATAACTTGCACATAAAAATGCTAACCTTGGTATACTTTCTTTTCTTGGTAGACAAATCCCGATATTCAATCACTGTTCATGGGAATAGATGTGTTATGCAAGAAATATTCAAAAGAAATAACACAGGTGAATCTGCTTTAAAACTTTATAAAATAATCAGCAACTTTACTGATTTTTATATAAATGGGAAAAATATATGAGTGAATGTTTGAAAAGAAATGTGTACTCACTACAGTCTTTACTTCCTTAATTCCATAGTCTCAAAGTTCTTAAGAAAGCATAAATTATTCATCACGGTCACTGCTTATGTTTTCAAACTCTCTCTGAGGACCACTACTCTGGTGATTTTAATGATCTAAAATCACTTTTGATGCCATGCAATGAAAAATTAGATCTGCCAGAAACTTAAACATGCCCAGATAGTGTGCCCTAATTATAGCAATAAAAAGTTACACAGTGAAAACCTGAGCTGGCTAAAGACCTGAGCTGAATGCACTCTCTCCTTTTTTTTTTTTTAAAAAAAAAAAAATAAAATCAAAGTGGACAAGTAAACAAAGATCCCTGATCTCAAAGGCTAGGCTTTCTTAAAAGTAAGAACAATTTAATTCTTAAAAAGCAAAAAAAAAAACCCAAACCAAAACAAGTCTGCTTTTTTCAGACAGATGCAATAGAAGTTTCCAAGGTGAATTTCCTCCCTGCCTTCTGTGAACTTCGGGCAGGATGCCTTCCTTCAGGCTTAGTTTCCAGTCCAGAACTTTAGCCTGGGTTAAGTGAATGCATATAAACTCCCATTGCCTCCTCATTTTCTGCATCTCTTCGGCTTGGCTTTGGGACTTGTCTTTGCTGTAGTAGTACATTCTCCCTGAACCCACCTGCAACCTTCATTTTGTATTCCCATCTCCCTTGGGCTGGCACTTACTTGATCTTGTGGTCAGCTTCCTGACCCAGCAGAAAGGTAACCTAGGGAAGATCATCTGCTTTCTTCAGTGGTGATTATGGATTCACATTTGCTCTGCTCAGTGTTTCACAAACTCCTCCAAAGCTGAGCATGGTTCATTTCCTCAGCACTCCTCCTCCTGAGATGCATAGGTGACACAAGTTAAACAAGAAGCCTTCTTCTGTCCTTCCATACACACTTTGTAACAGCATGTCCAATGATCAGGAGTTATTCTGTAAAGAGAACAAATCCAAACAGCTATGTCGCCAGTCACATGTGAATACAAACTTCTGTAATGTGTCAAAGAAGGGAAAAAAGAGGACATGATCTCAAAAGAGTTTTCTCAAAAAGGGTTTTCTGCAGCCTGAGATAGCCTATGGGAAATACATTGAAGTGTAATTAAGGCATTAAGGGATGTTCTGAACTGCTACCAACACTGGAAGATCTAAGAGAGCTTGTGCTCTGTTAGGGCAGAGGTTTGCCTAATCCGATATCCTGTCACAACAGCCAATGCTGAGGAAAGCATACGAGCGCAAGGCTGATGTGTAGTGATATGTCTTCAGAACAGCCTCCTAGCTTTCAAGAACTTGTGGCACATGGAATTCTCAAGGTGGGGTTGGTGCCTTTGCATTCAAAAATTTTTGGTGGATATTTTTCCTCACGTAATTGTCAAGTTGTTTTCTGAATATTTAGCATCTACCACATACTATGGAAAGGAAGTCCACGGGTTATATACACTGTGTGATGATGATTTCCTTTTTCAGATTTTAACCTGCTACCTGCTAGTTTCATTTGATACTCTTGAATCTCATTCTAGAGAAAAAAGCGACCATTCCCATCCAATACATCTGTGCTAATCTTTAGTTTTAGTTTGCCAACGCATCCCTTCTTCAACTGCCTTTTTTTCAGCCATGAAGACTCATACTCTGTGTGGTGATTCTTTTACTGAAGCTCTTACATACCTCTTATTAATGTGAACTATTTCCAGACCTACTGTATCCTTTCTGAGATTTTAAGCAGGCTCAGGACATCGGAACATACATTTTTTTTAAAGTGAAATAATGATGTTCCCTATTCTATTTGATTTTTAACCACTTCTAAGATCTGATTTGCTTTTTTGAGAGATACTGAGCACTGAATTGACATTTTCATAGATTTCTGCTTTATAGACTCAAGAGCTCATTCTGTGTGGCAGGAGGCAGCTCAGAGCCATTACTTTCTGAGTGGCTGTTTCTTCCATCAGTTCTTCTGAAGATACTTCTGAACCTTTGATGAGTATCCAATGGGAACATCGCAGGCTCTTCTACAGTGAATAAAAAGTAACCATTTCAATTAGATACTCCACTAGGGATTTATCTTCTCTGAGAGTTTCTTCTTGGTTGTCTCTATCCCCACATGTTTTCTGACAGTTTTCTTACACATGAGAAGAAGGATTTATTAGTAATTTATTGCCTGTTGTAATTTGTTCCTCACGCTCTTGTCTTGCCTACCTTGTATGTTTTTACTTTTAACCTGTCATGGTTTATGGTCCTCGTTTGGGCACAAGAAGTGCTGACACACCACCAGACATTATGTCTAACAATTATTTTTTAATTAACAGGATATTTTTACAAGGCAAGTTATAATTGCCAGTAAGACACATTACTTTTTATGTTGCCATTAGTTTTATGTGTTTGCTTACCACTAATGAATAAAACACTGCAGCTAAACTGGCTTTCCAATGTCTTTACCTTGTTATTGAACATAGTGTTAAAATATAAATTCAGTGAAATAAATCTACCAACTCTAGGGTGGGTTCTATTAGATTAAATAAACTTTCTAAGCCTTTCTCCGTCAATGATAATAAATAATTTAGAATGTTTTATCAGAGAGGATTTAAAGTAGATATGTTAAATATTTATTAAAATAATAAAAAAAATGAATACTGTGAAGTAGCTCTCAACTTTTTTACTAAGGTTGCATAAATGTAATTAGGTGAAGCTTGATATAGCTGTATTTCTTTTAGATTTCAGAATTTCAAGAGAAACATCGTAAACATTTATTAGCATACCACAGACAAAAGGTAACTCTGTGATTTTCTTATTTTTGTTGCGTATGTTTGCCTTGTTACTTTAGGGTTTTTTTTTAGAAAATATATTCACCTTTTATTGGAATACTTAGAATAATTTATCAAGATTGCCTTATTTCTGTCATTATAAAAAACAGGATTTAATTGTTTAAAATTTGTGAGGACTTTGTTAATCAAAGCTATTATTATTTAATAAAACAGATTTTAGTTGTGGGGTGGCTGAGATTAACTGGACAGTCAAAAGGACAGGGAGAGAAAAAACAAATTCACTGTATGGAGGAGAAAGTGAAAGGGATGGGGAGAGATTGGTACTCAGATGATAAGCCTAGAGGCAAGGAAGATTAGGGCTGAGAAACAAAATGAGAACCGTGAACAATGGAGAACAGGACTAAGGTCTAGTACCCTGAATTAGTGGTAGCTCAATGGGAAGAGGAATGGAATTAATCGTTCTGTGGAGAACAGGTAGTAAATTTGTGACTATGCCTTTTCCTGTGTAGGTTTGGAAGAAAATTTCTCTTTTATTTCTCAGCTCCTTCTAATTATTTGATAAAATACTTAGCTGTTTCATCCATTTCTAAGAATATGGTCAGGTATATTACTTAAAGCTACTTGGCAATACTGGTGAATTGACCCATCAGTAGGTGCCCCAGGTATGAAATGACAGAGGCAAACTCGTATGTGGCCAACTGACCATTTCATGTGTGCAGAGAGCATCTGATGTGGTTCTCATGGATAGAACAGCTCAGAAACTTAAGTGCTTTGTGGTCCATTCTCCCCTGTTTTCCATGACTGCATCTTGGGATCAGTCCTGGTGTACTGTGGAGTGGGTAGTTCTATTCAAGGTTCTGACCTTCTGCTTTCAAAGCCAGGCCATGGAGGAATCCTGATGATATGCCCCCTTCTAATTTATTGTATGGACTCTGGATGGTAAAATTGAAACCTGCAGGCAGAGCAAAATAAAGCTCTTAATAAAATTTTGCATGAATAGAATTGTTGTCTCCAATGAATCTGTGTAGAGTTTTTCTACTTTTGATGGTAAGTTTCTAAGTTATTTACTGTTGAGATATTAATTTAACAGTGGTTGTAAAGTTCTCAAGGATGCTGCTTGACCTAGGGAAGGCGTTTCGGTGACAGTACAGAAACAGCTGAAGATTTAATTGGTAGCTGTTTGAATGGCACACTGCTTTGGGTGGTTTTGGTTTTTTGTCCATTCTGTGTATAAGTTATTGTTTTAAAACTGCTTGCATTGGATCAGGGTCAGAAGAGGCTGGTTGTCTTAAACACTGTATGTCCAGCTATGGCTAGCACTGGTGAGGCTGCTTTGGTAGAGAAGTGGTTTGGCAGTGAGGCTGAGGTAAGCAAGGAAGAGAAGTTTCCCTGTGCAATGATATACCTCTTCCCTTCCTGTGAGTTTCAGTTAGCAATGCTCCCTCTTTCAGGGCTACTGGGAGGGAGTCTATAGGAACTGGGGAAGGCTAGATCACAGCTGGTAGAGGCACACGGGGTGAGAGAGTGGGAATAGATGCTCACACACAGGGTTATAATCTCCATCTGAATCTTTCTGCCACTGGCTTTGAGATGGAGGTGAGTGGGAAAGGATGGAGCAGGGATGATGTATGGTATAAACATTTTGGTAAATCGTACCCGGGGAGGTGAAGAAGCACAAATCTACCCTTCGACACAAGTGCTTCTTCCTGCAACTCTTCACTCTGCAGGCCTTGGCCTTTAGGAAGGGCGGAGTACTGCAGCAGGACATTCACAACAGGGTTTTTGTGCCTGACTATCTTGTTTGTGGGCCCCTTCCTTGTTTCTAGTATGTTGGTCTTGTCACTGTCAACCAACAGCTCTCATGACCCTGATACAAGCTTCTTTGTTGCTGTGGCTGTGAGTTGTACAGATACTGGGGTGCAGATGATGGTGCATGGTGTTGGCGCTTGAAGTCCGTATTCCTGGCAAATCTAGACCCTATGTTGTGCTAGGACCCAAAGATATTGAAAACCAAATAGTTACTCGCTTTCTTTAAGGCATTTTGGCGTTAAAATAATCTAGTCCTAGAGGGTGACAGGGTAAAGTACATTACTCCTGACATCTGTACTGATCACTTTCTTGATCAAACCTTGCTCTCATTAGAAAAAAGAATAAAGAATACAAAATTTCAGATCTTATGTAGATTAGATTTTGTCTTTAATTTGTTTTGTAGAGTTTCTCATCTGAAAAAAGAGCATAGTATGTCCCACAAACAGTATGATTTTATAAAGATATATCAGATGAAGTTATTAAAGAATTCAAATAATATTGTGAGGAGAAGCAGGAAAAGTTAACAAGAAAATTAATAGTTTGTCTTCAAGTCAAAATATTAATAGTGTGAAGTAGTGAAGGACTAAGGTCACACAATGGAAATTAAGGATAAAATATAGATGCAGTATTGAGGCTATTGAGTAAATTTTTACATCCTTCGTAAAATATAATGTATGATCATGTAATGAAAGACTAAAAAATACACATACTAGGGAGCTGACCTAATGTTCTTGACCTTAATGTTCTTCAATTTTACAAGCTCATAACATTCTTTAATGGAGAGATTTTTGGCTATCTCTATAACATAATAGGAAATACTCTTCACATAAGCTTGTTAGAAATAAATACTGAAAAGAACTGAATAAATTTTAAACCTGAAATGAGAAATATGGGAACATGGTATTTGATATTTTATTGGTATCCTTTCCAGAAAATTCCATATTAAATGCAACATAACTTTTATATCAGATATGGAAAAGAGGAAGAAAAATTAAAGCAAACTATTTTTAAGCACTTTTCTTATATATTCATTTATCCAATATTGCCAGTACACTTAACAAAAGGTAATAAAACTAAGCCTGTAACTGCCAAAAAGAGGCATATCTTTTTCAGGGTAACTGTTTAACACATCCATATAACAGCTATACTCTTGCCCCAATGAATCTGGAATAGCAATGATAACTGAGATTAAAACCAATAGAAAACAGCCTTTCAGCACTTTATAATGCTAGTTGTATGAAAATGAAGTTATATATCACACAAATAGATTTTGTTTAACTATGGTTATCTCACAGACAGTAAAGTTGGAAGAATCCCTCAAGAAAGTAACACAACAAATACATCAGATGCAATGGTAAGAGGTTTAATGCAGCAAAAGTAAATGACAAATAGTCTTTGTAATCAGACAACTAAGTATAATTGATAAAACTATAAAAAAGTAATGCTTTGTTTGCCTTTCTCATGTATTGTGTTGTATAAACAGAAGAAGCATATTTTTACAGAAATAAGTGAACAGTGATTTCTGTCATCAGGTTCATTTTCTTCACAGTAATCAAGCCTCTCGGGAAGGAGTCCTTTTATTTTCAAATTCAAGCCAGTAGTTGCTCTAAAAAAGAACTATTGGCAATCTCTATCATAAAGATATTCAGTTGTAAATTTTTATTCGCATTTACGTTAACATGTTTGTACTTTTTCCAATGGACTTTCCAGTATCGGCTTGGAAAGTAGTATGATATCTTTCCTAGTATCCATCCCATTTGCATAATTGCCAGAGTTTTGTAACATGGTTCTCATCTTCGTGATTTCTAGTAAAAGTCAACTTCTTGACTTTTCTCGCAAATGTGTCAAAGAGATAGCCAAGGGATAGCTCACTGTTATCCCCCCACTTATTGACTGATACACCTTAAGTCTTTTCATCTTATTTGTTTCCAACTTAAAGCCAAAGTTCTTGTTGATCCTTAAGTGCACTCTGTGCTATTACTTTCATTTCATTAAATTTTATTGCAATTATTTGTTTGAAAATATCGTATTTTTAAAATAAATGTGTAGTTCTCCTCAATACTGATGTAACTTTCTATCTTCAGAACTTTCTCTCTTCAGATTTCACAAACTGCAGGCCATCCCTGAGTCATCAGGGAGTGTATTAAACAGGATTAGTTGCAAGACTAAACTGAACATTTCTGCACTCTCTTCGCCCTTTCTTATTGTTTGCCTTTTAACATTATTTATGGTATACTTAGCTGAATTGATTGCTCTTATCACTGCTTTAAACTTCACGTGGCCTATAGAACACTAATGTTTAAATTGAATTAACACGGAAAAACTGTACTATCTTACTACTGTTTTAAAAAAATCTGCTTACTAGAACATAAAACAAACAAAAAAAGATATCACATTGATCTACTGTGGTGTACCTGTGGTGAAATTATTACATTTTCCATATAACATTTGTTTCTATGTCTTATTTTATCCTTTCCATTTTCTAAGATTTCAAAAACTACTAGGGAAAAAACCTCACAGGCTTGGTCTGCTTTTCCCTTTTAGTGAATACGGGTGTTAAGAGTACTTAGTGTGAAGTTACAACATACTTCTCCCTATAGATCCATCTTGAGAGAAGTCCTTCATGAATACCGCTTTATGAATACCAGTGATCAGGGATGCTGAAATCTTCTTATAAGCCAGTTCATAAAGCCAGCAATTTAATTGCAAAATTTTGTTGATCTTTATTTGTTTTCTGTGTTTTTCAGTATGGACTTTCTTTTGACTCTGATATGCACGCTCTACTGTATTATGCTCTATTATACTGCTTGGTGTAACGTAACTGAAAGAAAAACAGTATAAAGGAAACTATGTATGTGGTGGATTATCATAGTTTATATATTTTTGTCGTCTGCCTCCTTTTTCTTGTCTTCATCTCAAATAAATAGCATCTTTGTCATACCCAACACAGAGTTGTTACTGAATTTCAGATTTTTCAGAGTTCTACCAAGAGTGTGACCTAGGACTTTTTTTTGCATGCCCAGTAGATGTATTCCTTCTATTTATGGTTATTGGCAAAGGTATCACTTTTTCATAGCAGCTGGTGAATAGCATAAATATGCAAACATTTCTTTTGATAACTAGATTTTTTAAAGTTTTGGAAATGTGTACCCTGAAATGAAGATTTTTGATTCAGCTGTAGTTAATAGTTGTATTTTAACATCTGTTGTTCCATAAAGTACTTTGCCATAATGCTATCCTAAATTGTTATTGTTGGGCATATAATGACTGATACAGGCATTGTGATCTAGAGAAGAAGTTAATAGCTTATCAAAGAAGTTGTTATTTTGCTTCACGGCAAATAGTGTCATGTTGAAACCAGCTTTTGATGGATAAAATGCTTTGATTTTATGCTTTATTGACCAGCTAGACAAATGAACTAACCAAACAGCTTTGAAATTATATCTGTTGTTTCTTCTGTTTCCCCTTTAGTATGAAACCTCCTGAACAAGCTGCAGAACTACCATTTTCCAGTACAACTAGAAATCCACTTTCCAGTAAGAAATGTTGGTTAAAGATACTGACTGTGGAATGTATATCACTGGATATAGCTATGTTCTAATATCAAATTTATTAATGACTTTAGTTCCTTCAAGAGTACAGAATGGTTATTCTTCATGTTCTCTTCATCCTAGTCATCCTTCCACTTCTGAAATGTAGGTACAAATCTGTTAATTTTTAATGAAAATCTTAACAGTGACAACATACCGATATTTTATCCACAGTGCCTTTTTTGTGTGTGTGGTGAATTTAAAATAAGTATATTTTTTTTTTATTTTGTGTTTTGTTTCTGCAAACTGTGTAAGTATGAAGGAACTGGGGAGGGTTTTATCTATCCAAGTGTACATAATAACTACTTGCATAGGTTGCCTTTGCACTCACTGGAAAAAAATTCTAAGGCACGATGCACTTTATTCTAAAGACTTTCTGGATAGTTTGATTAATTAGTGAAGAACTCTTCCCATTGACTGTAGAGAAAAACTGAATGACTTATACATACACCTATCCGTACATTGTAGATGTCTAAAGTTAGATGGGATGAACTCCAGTAAGGCTTATTAAGTTTTAAATAAATGGAACATACAGCTTGCTCAAGCTAAAAGATTCTATACCTGTGACTGTGACTTTATTTTTTATAAAAAATAAAATTTCAGAATGCCCTTGTTGTGGAGACAAATAACAAATATATAAATACGCATGTTTATTCTGACATAAATACAAGAATAATAATGCTAATCATAAAATAAATTTCTCTGTAAATGTCTAACCCAAAGCTCAGAATCAATTAGTAGATTTTTTCTTACTGCTAGTGGGTTTTGGAGCAAATCCTAAATACTCATATGTGTTGTGCATTATGGATTATGTGTTTCCATTATTAGTCAAATTTAACAGGAGACTGTAACGTAATTTTAGTCATTATAACGAGTGTGCTATTTTTATTACAATGTCGTACTTATTTTGACATTTGTTGTAAGAAGGGAATCAATGGAGATTGATCCTGTACCTTCACCAATGAGAAAAGTGAGTTTTTGTATATACGTCCGTATACATATACATGCTTTTGATTTCTCCTGCTCTGTTAATACTGCCAAAAATAGAACTCTGCTCCCATTCAAAACAATTCTTAGGCAAATGCTGATTTCAGCTATGCTTGATGCTTAGTCGAAGGCAGATGATCCCCAAAAAGAAAGCAAAAGGAAATAAATCACAACATTCATTTCTGGAATTATATTCTCCACATTCCATATACAGGCTTTAAAACTTCTGACGCTAAATTAAATGGTGAATTTTTGAAATCTCAGTCTGCTTACATTATAAAAATGCTGGAACCGTTCCAAAATAAATGTTGCTAATGCATGAAACTGCAAGTTGCAATTAAATTTAAGTTCTAATATATGAAGGAATGGAAATATATGTAAGATGTCCACCTTCACCAGACCTCATGTAGATGTCTACAGTGCAGATCTATGCTAGTATCTCAGGGTTTCCTTTATAACCTATGGATTACTTATATCCATGTGTATAACCTATGGATTAGTATGTGTGATTCACCTCATTCTAAAGGAATCTTACCGGTCTCGTTCCTGTTTCCCTCCCTTGGCCATAAAGGGAATTTTGGGGGATCAGGCTGGATGTAAGTGCTGTCATCGCAGATGTCTGAAGTTACAAGAGGTGAATCCGTTGGCACTCTTAGCTTCATATCACATCGATTTTCAAAATATTCCTGAAATTTCATTTGTGATGGATAATTTTATTTTAAGCTGAAAATCAAGCCAGTCATTACCTTTCACCTTTCATGAACAGTTTTGTTTGCTGCTTGACCGGGCGATCTTGCTTCTGTGTGTGCCCAGGGGTATCAATGTGTGCATTGTATCATCACATGTTAAGAAAAAGCTAGGTGTGGAAGTCAATGATCTGAAAGGAGTGTTAGAAACTGATATTTGAGTTTGAGGCAATTGCAAGCTTTGCATGACATCTCTAAGACGAGAATGAAGGCAGCAGCTTTTCACTGTATTAGTGTTCTGATTAGGAGAGGTAACATCCAGGAACAGATGCTAGCTTAAGAATGGAATCTCAGCACAGAAAATTATGCAAGTGTCTGATATTTTTCTTAGCGGAATGTGACAGAGAGGACTTCTTGGAATAAAGCTAAAATACATGTACTTTTCCCCTGCCCCTATAGATCTCTAAAAATAGTAACTTAATTCTGAGGTTTTGCATTTTAGTGCCATAAACAAAACTGGCAGTGTAGAGTGCCAGAAATCTGCAGGCTTTATAGACCTCAAAAATGTAACATTATTGCTTAAAATACCTTAATAATTAATATACTTATTGCACTCTAATTAATACCTTACCATTCAATTAGCCCGAGACACTGCCCGGTCCCACAAGATTATCATTAATTCCTCCACCGCAAGATGGACGTATGGGTGAGTGAAAATACAGTTCGTAACTGGATAACATTTGCATTATGTGAAGAGGGTTGATAAATTAAAATCCGTACATTACTAGTTTACTGAGCAGACTTGAATTGTGTGAAAAATTATCTTTTAGACATCAATCCAGCGAATGGGAAATGGCCAGAAATGAAGAATGAGCTAAGTCCGCCTTGTACTGACCTACTCTGTTCTGTGAATAACTACTTCTGATTGTAGTCAACAGTTGCAAAGAATAATACTGTAATGATGTGTATGATTGAACAGAACAGGCATACTTGCAGTATATGTTGTTGATCCTCTATGAACCTTCATAATTATATTTGTTTATAGTTATCAGAGATTAACATTGCTCATGTCATGTTAAAATCACGTGAGGAAAAAGGGGGAAACTAAATAGAAGTTATAAAAGTATTTCATAATAGAAGTGGAATATTTAAGTTGAGATCAAGAATTTCATCAGAAAGGTGATTTTTTTTTTTCACCATGTCACTGTAATAGGGTGTAAGACATTTTACCTTCCTGTACTTTCATTCCTGGGCTGTTGCAGAGGTTGGGTAACACTGTTATGTAAGTAAGGCATGAATAACAGCCTGCTGAAATTAGTACCACCTCCTTCAGTGTTGTTTATTTGTAAGGAGTTTCCCAGATTTCCTAATGCTTTTCAAGTCTACCATTCATGTGTCTCTCGCATTCTTGGTTTTACATTCAGTATGTTTCTGTAACAGTCCATTCTCAGGCAGTCTTTCACCTGGCTTCAGCAGTTAATAGAATCTGTCTCCAGCCACATAAGGAGCTTTTAGCACTCTTGTGTTTTTACATGATGTGAACATCCTGAAACAAAGACAAATGCAATTGCAATGCAATTGTAATGAAGTAGCAAAAATAGCTTTGTCTATGTTATGTCTGATTTATATGTTCGGATCCTTCCTAAGTGCATGCTTGCCTATAAATTTATGGATAACAAGATAGCAAGAGTTGAGGTTAACAGTTTTTTTATTGTGTCTAAATATAAGTAGATATTTAATTAGATAGTAAAATTATATGTAGAACAGTTATGTGTTCAGCACATTTCAGAATCAACCCATAAAGTTTTGCAGTGGACAAAGCTGAACGAATCAAAGTGTACTTGAAAAAGTAAGGGCAAGTAGAAACAATGATTTAATGGTGCACTAAGAAAGTTTTCTTCTCAGAGATGGACGGGGCAAAAAAGAGTAGCTGAAGAACTGGAGAACCTCAGCAGAACTATCTCGCTAGTCTAATAAATGAGAGAAGGTGAAAAAAACAAACATATGTGTTTAACTTGAAAAAGATTTGCCGGAATGGTGCAATATGATGTTTTTGTGACAGCTAAGCTCTATGTAGGATTAATCTATTGAGACTAAAGACAATTTTTTGCCTTTACCCTGTGTTGGAATACTGCTGAGGACTTTTGATAGCTGTCGCTTTTGCTGGATCTTCTTCCAGCAAGAGGTACTGGAAGACAACTCGTGCCTCAGCAAATGTCTTGTCTGTGCTAGATTGTAAAAACACACTGTTAATTTTTAGGGTTATTTTAATCCTTTCTCAACTGACATGATGACTTTATTTTGTCAGCCAATTCCTTATCTTTCATTGACTGTTATAACTGTGGACCATTTTTCATTCTTGAATAAACCAATCATTTATCTGTCCCAAATAATGCAATTAAAGTACTAATCTTTGTTTCCAAAGTTATCTATTAAGTAAAATGGATAATTCATGTTGGTCTCATTTTCACAAATTCGATTCTTGCAGGTAGTGTATCCTACAGAAGTTCTCAGTCATCTGGAATAATGTCAAGTCAAAATAGTAGAGCAGGAACTACAAGGTAATTAAATGCCTCTTCAAGATGTTACCATCTCCTGTAAGAGACTGAAATTTCTCTTGTCTGGCCTGGATTTAATCTGTATGTTTAGAAGTTATATTCTACATCTGAAGAAATGTTATCGTGCAGGGTAGCTGTCACCTGTATGAATATTTTTGTTACTATATTTGTTACTATTTTGAAATCACTTTAGTCAAAAATGTGCAGAGATAGCCTCGGTTCCTGTAGCTGTGGACATCTACGGTGATAGTACTTTTATACAAAGGGTATTAAATTTATAGTAAGAAAGTACAAAAACGTATCTGCTTTATAATTCTTCTAAAAATCAGAGATGACAACACAACATCTACACAAGAGCAATTCTCTGCATAACCAGAACATCTTCATGTGGCATGTAGCAGGTGTTCAGGTTTTTCATCGAAACATTGAAAATGTCTCAAACTGTGAGAATTATTAACATCAAGAAATAACTTAAAATGCTTCCAGAAAAAATAAACTCTTATTCTCTATAATTATTAAGCCAACTATATCTTTCTAGCACAAATTTAAAATATATGTAACAAAATGTTTCTTTTTTTCCATCTCTTGATTCTTATATCATGTGTTTTGTCCTTCTGCTTTTTAAAATACATAAAAATTCTAAAGAAGTTAAAATCTGACAAGGAATGTGTAGAACACAGTAATTTATAGCATTTTCTATGAAAATTTTAGCACCATGGATTTAAGTGTTTTTGAAATCTCTTGTACTATAAATGTGACCTCAACTCATATCCATGAATTAATTTCATCAACAGATCCACACCTATAAGACTGCCACATAGTGGATGTTCACTTACATCATCGTCTGGATCACAAAGCAGTAGAAGGGGGTCATGGGATACTTCTGATTTCAGAACCCGTCAGCTGTATCCATTTACATCACCTTCTACACAGTCATCTGTAACAAGACTTCCAATCACCATCTCTGGACTTATTCAAAGACAACATTTAGGCAAGTATATTTTACAAAATAACGATGTTTAACACTTCCTTTAAAACTTTCAGCATAACTTACGCTTATTTCTTATTTACTGGAGAAAAGTAAATAAGAAATAAATTAACACAAAAATGATATTTCAAAATTAGAAGTAGGCGATCAGCAAAATATGAAAAATGTTGATGTTTATGATCAGTATTTTGCCTTAGTCTTCCGTGCAATGGAATATCTGCTGTGAAAATGTGTTCTTGCTTCTCCTCAGAATGGTATTTTAACAGAGATTTAACTCTGGTAGTGTCCATATATGTTTCCTAGAAAAAATACCAGTTCTAAATAATGCAAAGCATATAATAATTTGACAAAAACTAATCTTGGCACAAATCTTAAGGAGCAGAGAAAAGAAAAATATGAATGAAGGAAGTGCAATGAAGTCAGTGGAAGTCACAGCAAGACTGAGGTGGTCAATAGGAGTCCTTTAATAAAGCAGAATAGTTGAGTTGACAGAAAGGAAGAAAGGTCTATAATGAGAAGAACGAATGGGAGACAGTTCCTGTGTGACTGAACGGCATGTTGTAGAAAATGGGTGACAGCTGATATTCTACTATGTCCAGCAGAGAAAAAATGAAAAAAAACAAAACCAAAAAGGAAATGGCAGTATTCCGAGAGTAAAAATGAAGTATTAGTCACCTGGTTATCAGGAGCTAGGGAATACTAATGGAAATGAATGAATGAGTGAACTCATTCTGAAAGTGAACACTGGATTGGGAACGAGCAGATGATGAGACAGAGAAGAGGAAGGATGATGTGTTAAGGAATAGGAAAAAAGGTGAAGATATTAGAATGGTTCAAAGTAGCAAAGGAGCCCAGAACAGTGCATGGGACAGAACAAAGGCTATGGAGGAAGCAGGTTAAAGAACTAATGAAGAATGGAGGTAAGAATGCAGAATATTAGTGTAAAAGAGGAAGCGGGATGGACCAAAGGAAAAAGATGAGAGGACACTAAAGGCTATTTTTCCCATGAAGCAAGAAAAATAGAAAAGAGACGATCTGGATAGTTAAAACAAACAGACCAAACAAAAAAGCAAAGAATAGAGAAGCAATTTGAAGAAAATTAAAGAAGATGCAAGCATTTCTTAGCTTTTTATTTTTATGTTTTCTAAATATTATTATTTGTTCCATTTTACTTCTCTGTTACATGCTCCATATCTTCAGAGTTTGGGAGGAAAGACTTAGATGATAAATATGATCATTTATTGCTGGTAATTTTTCCCATAGTCTGTACAATACTAACTTTATTTCTTTTATAATTACCTATTACTCCATCGCAGTCTTCAGTAGTAATCTTTCCAATCCCATGATTTTTTCAGTCCTGGTACTGTTCTCTTGTTTGCCAAATGTTCTGTCTCAACTTCACATTTTTTACAAATCTAGCTATCAAGACACCCACATGTCCACAAGTTACAGCAAGAACTGAGATAATCTGGGGTATTGTTCATTGAGTGCAGCAGAACACGAGCAAAATTAGCTGCATAATCAGCCTAAAAGGGGTGCAGGTAGGAATTGCACTGGAGCAGATTAAATCATAAAATCATAGAATCATAGGGTCACGGAGTCAGAAAAGCCCAGGTTGGAAGGCACCTTGAAAGATCACCTAGTCCAACTTTTTGTAGGAAAGGGAGCCTAGATAAGATTATCTAGCACCCTGACCAATCACATCTTGGAAACCCAATTCTTCATATGGCAGAGTTTACAACACAAGTGAAATCTTTGTTATTTACATTAAAAGGATAATTCAGCTATAAAGAGTTTTTTAGTCCATATTAATAAATGTGACCTTTCTATTCCAAGAGTAACACATCCCAAGCAGTTTTGAGTTCATGAAACTTCATTAAACCAAAATAAAGGTATTTTAAGAAATTCACTTGTACTCAAGTTATGAATGCTTGTAGGTTGTGGAAGTTTACATCATAATTGTTTTCTTGTGGAATTTCTGGACAGTGATACAGCGTGTGAATGATTTGCATGAACTTGATAGAATCTGTAAGTAATGTAATAGAAATCAACGTTAAAAAAACCCAGCTATATTGAAAGTAAGTGTTAGTTGGTTTTTGAGCTGTATGTTTACAAGTTAATTGCAGTTCATAAGCAGAACAATGCTTTGGACATTCACCCGTGTAGCTGAAGTTGGAATGCGGCAAAGATGATTTTATGGAAAGAGAAACCTAATCCTTTTCTATAAATACAAAGGAGCATATTTAGATTCATGAAAAGAGCTATAAAAAAGTTCTCATCAAAACATATTGTTTTTAATTTTTGAGAGTTTTCACTTTCTTTTTTTCTTGAATTAGTTCCCAAAATAATTTACATGAACAAAGTTTTCCTTTAGTCTTACTAATTTTTTTTCTATTCGTACTTATATTCTTATTCTAGGATCGACTAATTTTGGAGGACATTCCTCAGCAAGATAAGCAAACATCTGTGAATTGCTTTGGTCAAAAAACATCTGGAGTAGCCCTACACAGTCTTTGGATGTCAAAGTATTTGTAATTTGTATAAAATGTCAAATTGGCATGAGACAGCTAACTATTCAGCGTGAATGATGTATTTAAAACATCACTGATCTTGCTGATTAACATATACAGTAGTTTTAAACAGGAGTACCTCTTATTGTTTTTAGAAATTTTGGCTTAAAATATATTGTATAAATAAACAGCCTTTATTAACTAAGCATTAAGATTAAAATGATTATATATTCAATGAGCATTTCTTGCTGTGACTGCATTGAGCTGCTGCAGAACTCTATTTTTAAATGGTTGCGCCTGTGAAGTATTAGACACGAGCTCTATTAAAAAAATAAATTAATTTATGGATTTTTGATTCCAGAATTCCAAATTTTGGTTCTTACTCAATGTATCACTTTTTGTTTGCACTGTTGAAAGGTGTAAGGTTTGAGGGATATTACTTTCTAGCAGGCTCTGCAGAACTCCTAATACGGTATCTACTCCACACTCCAAGAAGTTTACCATTTGTTTTAGGCAGCGATGATTTCTTCCCAAAATGGAATGAAAAGGCAGAACTGGGATGGAGACAAAACACAGTGGAGACTACCTTTACTCTCAGACGTTAATAGCAACTGGAGACTCTGAATGAAGAGTGCCAGAATGCAACCTTTTTATTTTGAGAAGATCTCTTAAGTTCAAATTCCCACCACTACTATGTATGGAAAAATTTTGGTATGACCGATGATGAAGTGCAATTCTTAATTTTGTGAGGAATTAGTCCTTTAATCTTTAAGGAAATTTGCAGTACACTAACGATGCACCAGAGGGTGCTAACTTACCTCTAAAGACATTTGTTTAATCATCCCACTTTTTTGGGGAGTGAAATCTGTACTTCTCTGGCTTTTCATTTTGGAATTAATGTATAAAAGCTACACATAATCAGAAGAAGGGCAACAAAATGATGTAGAGTCTGAAGATAAAACATCAGAAAAGCACCCAAAGATTAATAACGTGTGAGTGACTGAATGAACCAAACTGGAAGTTAAAACAGTAACTCAGATGGAGTAGTCCACAAATATGTGAAAGGTAAAAATGGAAACAGGGATTAGTCTTGGTGGGGTAAGCAGTAGTGGTCTGAAGGAAGAAATTATTTAGGCTTGATATTGGGAAAGTTTCTTAACAGAGTACTTTGGCAGCTCTCCAGTCTCTCGGGATAGAGTCACTGCACCATGACAGTGGGCACTCCAGCCTTCAGCGTTAAGGTGCCGGTGCTAAGCTGTGTTGTATAGCTTTGAGAAACACAGGGACTGAACTGCCCTCGAGTTCTTTTCAGTGTTTCTGTCTGCAGCTTTCTGGCTTTCAGTCATAAGAGGGCACTAATTTATCTTTTGCAGTTTTCTGGGAGAGAACACAAGAGTATATCTTTCACTACAAGGATGTTTCATGCATATCTAAACAATAGCATAAGATTTTATTACAAGTCAAAATCGGGCTATTCATGCAGTGGGGTCACTGCTAATGCTGAAAGTATCCTCTTGTTTGCATTATCGTTGCCAACTTCAGCTTCATTTCACAGTCATCACTTATCTTTTTCACAAGGTGATGCTTATACCATATAAGGCAGCATCATGTCTGTTTATTGCTTTGTAATACAAAGGAAGTCTGTTGCAGACAAATGCTTAGTCTGTTAGACATAATACCTGATACTTGCCAAGTAGCATTTTCTACAATTGTGCCAATTAAAATGCAAAATTGCTCCCACTTATTTTTGAACTCTCGTGTTCTGGCAGTCAGGAAAGAATGCCGTAACTCATCAAGATGCAGCACTGCCGGCTTATCTACGATAGTCCGATTTTTCCTCAAGAATTTAACCTGCTCGTGACCTGAGGAAATGCAATTTGATAATTCTCTCCTTCTGTGGTCTCTGTGTCAAAAGTGCCAACGTACTTCACTCTCTAGAACAGCTTTGTGTGCCTCTGGAGCACATGCTGTTTCTGATGGTCAGACTTGTCCTGTCGTGGCAGACTCTTCCTACAAATCTCTTCTGCGCAGATAGAAATGTCTGTGCAGCAGGGAGGACACTGCTCATGTCCATGCTGTGAACATTAGGAGTTCTTTCATATTGTGCCTTTAGGATTGTGAGGTATCCCATCAGCTCCAGCAAGCTTCAGTGCTGTGCAGTCACTAAAATCATCTGCATCTGTCACTAGAGCCCCTGACTGCTACAACACTTTGCAGGGAAAACTGCCTGATTTGCACCAATATGCACCAGTGCCTTTCATAAAAAAAAAAAAAAGATCGGCTTGCTAAGTGTCTTCGTGGAGGAGGTTAGTGATCCTTTGGATCCTTTGGCTGATGTGCCCCATGAGCTCTGATCAGCTTTTCTCTCGATTCGGTCTAAAGCCCTGGTACTTTGTCCCTTGGAAAGGCACTAAAAACATTTGTCCTGCACCCATGTGAGCACAGTGGTACCAGGGAGTAGAGTGCCAGCTGTCTGGAGGGGATAGGGAAAGAAGTTTCTTGGGACAAAGTGACATTTGTGTGGTGATGAGCTGGGGAAGGACATGACTCTGTGTGCATGCGTGTGTGTGTGTGTGTGTGTGAAAGGCTTTTCAGTGTTAGGAGTCAGTGAACAAGCTGTGTTACCAAGTTACTCACAATTTGCCACCAGCAAAAGAGGAAAACTCTTTCTATTCTGCAAATGAAAAGAGTTGCTTTCCTTTTCTACGCAGGACATGGGAAAGGTCCCTCACAGCCCTGCCCATAGCAAACAGCAGTCTCCTGACCTTGGTGCCATAGAGCTATTCAGAAGCCACCAAAGCTTGAAAAGAGGCTGTTCTACATCCTGGTCCACCTTCCAGTACTCTGAAACCTGGCACTTACCCCAGCTGTGCTGCCAAGTCCCACATGCAAAAAACCCCTGCAGAACATCAACACCACTGAGGGAATCCACTTTAATTTTGGCACTCTAGAGAATAACCCCATGCAGATATTTTGTCCTAACCAACACAGGGCCTCTCAAATAAAAGCATACAACAAATTTCCAATCAGGGCAGCCTCCCTAACAAGATCAGGGTCTGTCTATCCCCGTGTTAAGGCATCTGGAGGAAACAACACAAAAGAGGAGAGGAAATCAGTCCCACTAGACATTCCTAAAGACTTTTTTCTGGCCCATGCCTTAACCAAGCACACATTTTAGCCATGTTTGACATCCCTGCCCAGCTCAGTGTTGAGCCAAACAGAAGCTGACTTTGGAGATGGCCTAAGTACATCTGCATCTTTATGCGTTTGGCTGTGCAGAATATGGTGAAAAAACATTTCAGCCATCTCCAGGTCCTCTGAACTCTGCTGATTCGAAACAGGCAGGACAGAGCTCCGAGCGTCACAGTGGGTGACAACAGGGAAGGCTTCGTGAGATGGGAGTAAGGAACAGATGGGCCATTTGGGATTACCCAGTCCAGTCTCAACTCTGTTTTTGACCTATATTTGCGAACAAGACCCAGCCTGGGAGGGGGACAGCTCTCTGTGGGTTAGCTGTTAGGCCTGTAACATGGGAGCATTATAAACTGGAGACAATGCAGGGGAGGGGCAGGAAAGCCTAGCTGGGAGATAAGAGGAGGGGATAAAGGGAGGAAGAGCAAAAGCAACCAGAAGCATCAAGGAATGTTTTCAAAGTAAATGACCTCATTCCAGTCTTGCTCAGCTTTTCTCCTTGTGTATACTCAGATGTTCATGCATGTTCTCTTTTCTGCTGTTGCCCATACAAGATTAGTAGTGGATTGATCCCGGGAGGCGTTTAAAGCAAGGACAGACTGTGGAATACCTAAAGGAGAACTGATTGCACGTCCCTGGTCAAGACTTCTGCTGTTTTGTGCTTTGGTATAATTTTTCTTGGAATAGATATGCGGACCTGGGTTGCCTTATTTATTTGTTTCATTGTAAGCTCTGAAATGGGCATTTCCAGCTTTCTGTGTATTTATTTCCCCTTCTGTTGGAATCTCTGCAGTTCCTAGTAATGGCTAACAGGTCTTTTACAAATTATGCAGCTTTCTAACTAAGGAATAAACAGATAAAGGGATGAGAAGCAAGGCCAGTAAGCTTCATAATATAGAGGACTTGCACTTTTTCAGAAGTACGGTGGAGTTACTGTTACTTTTGACAGCATTTCACAGCTTACCAATAGAGTCTATAGAGTGTGTGGGTAAAAGTAACACAGCCTAGTTATATTACAGCATCACACATTAAATCTTTGCTGAAACATAAAAAGAGAGCTCTAGTTTGTGTGTGTGAAATTACCAAGTTTGCAGATTATTAGCATGAGTGTAAAAAGCTTCTAGCACAGCATATGGTAAATACATTAGTGCTGTATTCCAGAAAGCATCATTTTCCCAAGCTATAGGTCTTACTGACATATGTGGTGGAAAGGCTAGTTCTGCCAATTGTCTGCTTCTTTCATATCCTCCAATTTTGGTGCAGCTTTAAAGCAATATGCTTAATAGCCTTAGTCTAGTATTTTGAAAAATTGCAGTACTATCTATCAGTGTGGAAAGTCACATGTCAATGACATTTGGTTGGCACAGTGGGTTTTGAGAAAAATGGCAAGGGAAACAGTTGGCACTGAGTTCTGAGAAAAAAATGTGTCAGAAAGTGTGAGTCTGTATGCAGTAAACTCACATTTTATTTGCTCGTATATCACTTTGTCAGGGTTTTCAATAGTTCTTGTGGAAAATGTGTAAACGAAATATAAAGCAGCTTTTACATATAGTAAGGATTTTTTCTTTAACCTAACTGGCGTTCTCACAACTTATGCCATATACAATATGCTGGGTAGTACAATATCGTCCTTCTAAAACAATTACATGAGCCCCTGAAGTAATTTCTTTGTTAAAGAGCCCATCCGTTCACATTTTGCAGGGCATGTATGAGGCAGGGGTGGGCGTGTGTACGCATAGGCTGAATCATAGAAT